CCAGTTTCCCATGGTTTGTCTCTGAAGAATCTCAGAATGTTCCCAAATAATCTTCCTAAAAAGATCGCATAGGTTTAATGAAACTTTCCTTTTAATTCCATTTGCATTTCATTAAATCTCAGGTTTCCAAAACAAAAGTAGGGATAAATGAACATAAAAAATGTTAGTATTTATTGAGTACTTACTGTATACCTGACTCTGTGATAAGGCAGTTGCATGTATTACCTCACTTGTTTCCACCAAAGTCTGGAACAGAAGTTGTTATTTATAGGGAAACCTGATGAGATCTATGAGGTTAAGTCACTGGCTTAAGGATATAGACATAATAAATACTGAGAAGAAACTTGAACGAGGTCTGGAGTACTCAAAAGTTACTTCTACTTGGGAAACATGAATACATAAAAATGTAGGCCTAGTTAAATGTTTATAAATTGATTTGTTTCTTGAAAGACTGTTAAAGCATTGTTATGTTATTTACTTTCACTGAAATTATAAATATAAGCATGGAACCATGCACAATCTTGGAAATTATAAACTCTACCAAAAATTGCTGCTTCTCTTGCATCTTCATTTTCTTCCTTCAAATAATTATCTGTTGCATAAAAAAACAGACATAGATAGTATTTATTCATGTCTGATGAAACCCATAGCATTTTTAATGTAAAAGCTCATATCAAAATTAATAAATATCACAGATCTGGAGCTCTAACTGCAGCAAGATTCTGAACCAGAAGAAATGTTTCTGAGCTGGTAGATTCAGCTGTAACATCCTCTGCTTGTCTTATTCAGAGGGTCCTAGCTGAAGAACTTTTATTAGGAGATGAACACCAAAATATTCATATTAACGTTTTTGCTAATGAAGAAAACAGCAGACACCACTTATAATTGATCATGAGAGAAAACAACATGAATGTAAGGGTCCTGAGCTTTGTGGAGCACATCTGGGCAGAAAACATGAAGTCTCCCTTTGCATTCCTGGAGGTGGCTCAAGCCAGATATTTCAGTTTGAAATGACAGAGCCTGACCCCAGGAATAATTTGAGGCCTAACTTCCTGACTGTCGATTACAAAGTTACAGAGCTCCACAGAATAAAAGTCAGACCTGAGTAATTCATATTTTAGTATGCAAAAAGGGAAAAGATACATTGGTAAACATGCTTTGGTGACCACATGCTCTGTGTCCTGGGAAGCCTGGATCCAGACAGGCTATTTGCTCGCTGCTTTCTCAATCAAACAGAAGATACAGCCAACTGCAAGAAGCTACATGAGGAGACCTGCATGAAGAGATGGAAGGGAGATGTGAGGACTCCCTCAGATCTGGAACCTCACGTGTCTGGCCCTGTGGTGTCTATGAAGGAGTTTGGGTATAATCAATTGTGTTATAAATAGTCACTCTCTTGACAATTTGTAGAATGTGTTGTTCAAAGGCATGAACAACACTCATGTCCTTGCCTTAAAACACTTTATCCCGTCCTGGGGGTGGTGGTGCTGTGGCATAGAGAGCTAAGCCTCACAATCCCACACAGTCCTGAATGCTCCACTTCCTACCCAGGGCCGAGTCACCTTTGAACAAATTTTCAAAGTGTAATGTGGAAGCCATTCTATTAAGAGTCTATGGGCCGGTGCCACAGCCCAATAGGCTAATCCTCCGCCTAGTGGCACCGGCACACCGGGTTCTAGTCCCGGTCGGGGCACCGGATCCTGTTCCGATTGCCCCTCTTCCAGGCCAGCTCTCTGCTGTGGCCAGGGAGTGCAGTGGAGGATGGCCCAAGTGCTTGGGTCCTGCACCCCACGGGAGACCAGGAGAAGCACCTGGCTCCTGCCTTCAGATCAGCGCAGCGCGCCGGCCGCAGCGGCCATTGGAGGGTGAACCAACAGCAAAGGAAGACCTTTCTCTCTGTCTCTCTCTCTCTCACTGTCCACTCTGCCTGTTAAATAAATAAATAAGAGTCTGTGGGTTCTCCCAAGTTCAAGAATGAAAAATGCCCCCCAAAGTCCCTTCTGAGAAAGGGATGATGCAGTCCACAATCACAGAGCTCTAGGAGCCCCTTTGCCTACAGATGTCATAAGAGAACAGGGTTTGAAGAGAAAGGCAAATCTGAATATGCAAAAATAAATTAATGCAGTGCAAAGGAGACACCAAAGGAAAACCGTGGAATGAACTCAAACAGGTGGAATTATGTCTGAGAAGGAGCATACTCATACCTGCCTTCCCAGTATTAGCTTTAGGGGGCACAGCAGTGATGGTAACACAGATGTTTGAGTTTTTAAAAAGCAAAATAATGACTAAAACCTGATTTGGAGAGTAATAAGACAGCCAAAGCAGAATGTAAGATTTTTGTTTTTGGAGTACTAGTTTATGGACCGGTTTTTATATTAATATATATTATATTATATTTTAGAATTGTTTTACATATCCATTTGAAAAGCAGAGAGAGAAGTTCCATAGCACTGGTACATTCTCCAAATGCTTGCAACAGCAAGAGCTGGGTCAGGCTGAAGCTGGGAGAGGGAACTCAATCTACAGCTCTCACTTGGGCAGCAGAGATCCAACTGCTTGAGCCATTACCCACTGCCTCCCAGAATGCACTTTAGCAGGGAGCTGGAGTTGGTCAGCCAGGATGCAGACATTCAGATATCAGATGCAGGCATCCTAATTGCTATGCCAAATACCTGCCCCACCATAGGTATTTTTAAAGAAATTTGCAGTCATTTTTATGGATATGGACAAGTTGTTTTTCCTGGTCTTTTACCTCCAATCTCGTAGAGGAATGCAGTCTTCTTAAAAGGACTTATAAAAATAGTGACAGTCTCAGAACTGTATTGTCTGTATTGTCTGATGTACCAGATATTTACTTTTTATTAAATTTTGTTCCAACCACTAACAGTAGAGACATTTTATCTTTAATAGGACAAATTTTCCGTAGAAAACAATCCAAATGTGTTGATCAGCCCTACTAAGAGTCCTTGAAATGATCCAGTAGCTATTTAAGAACGAAGCTTGGTCTATATTTGAAAATCGAAAACAATATAAATACCTATGAGGCACTCATCATAAAAGAACAAAATGCCTTCCCTCCCTCCCTTTCTCTCATACCTTAAATGCCTATAACTTGTTGTTTGCACTGGCTTGATGGTTGATCTGGCCTATTAAAGCTCTTTATCTTATACTTTGAAACTTATTTTAGTGTACTTCTACAGTCACAGTGATTGGCTTCAATTAACAGCAGCTGAAGTGTTTGCTGAATTGATTCAGAACCTTTCTTGCTTAAAATGGAAGTTCTCTTCTGTATACTGAGACCTGTTGTAGCAGCAGACGACCGTGGGGTTGGCTATTCTCCAGACCTGTTATTCTCCTCTTCATGCCCAGTGCTGACAAGAAGCTAACCTTGCTATGGCCCTGCACCTGAGCCCATGGGCCCAGAACTCAGGCTCCACACAGCCAGACTCTGGTGCCGCAGCGCCGCCAGGCACACGTGAAGTAGGGTAGAAGGATTGCCCTGGACTGTGTTCTCTGTGCTCGGGCCGCATCCACAGATCTCTGCTTTCGGAATGACAAATCTCAAACCCTTTGCTGAACCTCAGAGTGACAGACAGAAAAGGGGTCTGAACGTGAGTATCCCCCACGAGTGTCTCCAACTCCCACATTCTGCTTCTACCCACAGGGAAAAACAAACCTTCAAAAAATGCATAACGCTGTTATGAAGTTACCACCGCTTCGTTTTCTGAATCTGAGTCTCCACACAGCAGAAAAGGCTTAGAATTCCCACAGCCCTGAGAAGGGCGATTTCTCTGGCCAGTGAAGGCATCTGCCAAGCACAAATTCTCCATCTGTAAAATGGAAACTCATAAAACTGCATGGGTTCCCTAGCAGCGCCATGAAAACTCTCGTTTCCAACCGGCACTGCAGCCCCGCGGCTCGCCTCTGTCCTCCGTGTGGACGTCAGGTGGCCTAGCCCTGTCACAGACTCGCTGGCCGGTGCTCGAATTCGTAGACACACGGAGTCCTGAGAGAGACACGCATGGTTGCTCGGGCACTGAACAGACTAAAACATCGCAAACCCTCACCAGCGAGGGAACCAGCTGGGTTCCAAATTCTAGCAGTTCCTACGTTTTTGTGCCGAAAATAAAATTCCCTACTCGTAAAATTCCGGGGAACGTTACATAATTATTGTGTTCTGCTCAACAGAAGCAAACAAAACAAAAACAAATCACGTAACGAGGGCCTTCATGATATTTACCCTGCGCCCCCAGCGTAGACACCTGCGGGGTGCAGACACCGGTAAAACCCAAAGGCAGCCTGGTCGGGCGGGCGTTCCCTTCTGGAACATTCTCCCGGCGCCCCACTCGGCGCGCCATACCGGCCAGCCGGGGGTTCACAGTGTCTGCGCTGGGGCCTGTCCTGCCCCGCGGACCGCGGGCCGCACGCCGGGGGCACTGGCCCGGCTCCTGTCTGCTCGCGGCGGCTCACAACGGGTTAAGCGGTGCTCGCCTCCAAGGCTGCGTTCATCGCCCCATCCCTTCCCTCCCCCGTCTCCAGTGCCCCCACTCGCTCCTCCCGTCTCGGGCTCCCTGTCCCCAGCAAAAGCCGCAATCTCCCTGCTGTCGCGTCCTCCTGGGCACGGCGCACGCGGGACCCGCCCAGGCCGGGAAGCTGCGCCGATGGAGACCCGAGCTGGAGGAACGCCGCCGCCCGGACTCTCGGGCAGGGACCCCTAGACGGAGCCGCAGGCGGGAGCCCGGCACGCACGGGGTTAAAGGCGCCGCGGCCGTCAGAGGAGCCGGGCCCCGCGCCGCGTGCGCTCCGGCCCGCCCTGCCAGCGCCGTGCCCGGCGCTCGGCTCCGGGGAGCGCAGCGGCGCGCGAGCCGGGAGGCGGCGGAGCGCGCAGCTGGCGTGGGGACCTCCCCGCAACGCAGCCGGGTCTGCAACCGGAGCCGCGGAGTCGAAGCCCAGCGGCGTGGAGCCCGCGAGCGCAGCCCTCTCTTCCCGCGCCTGGGCCCGCGACCGCGCGGCGGGATGTTCTCAGGGGCGCGCCCTGGGCGCTGAGACCGAGCCTGGCGTGCGGCTGCATTTCCCTCTTCCGGGGCACTCCGGCCGTTGGCTCCACCGATGTGACGCCCTCCCTGCGGAAGGATGGGGATCTTTCTGGCATATGTCGGATTCGTCGTCTTCTCTGTGTTCTGCGTGCAGCAGGGGCTTTCTTCCCAGGGTAAGTCCGTGCCCAGCGGCCGCTCCTGCCGCGTCCCTCACCGGGCGGGTGCGCCGGGTTCCTAGTAGGGGACAGGCGCTTGGGGTGTTACGCGTCGCGGTCCGTCTGGCATTTTTCTCCCAAGTTCATTAAAACGTGGGCAAGCGAGGCTGGAGGGGAAACCAAGCAGCGCCTGGCAGTGAGCGAGGCGGCTTCCCGGGCGAGCGCAGACACGGGCTTTTGTGCAGGTTGTATGAGCTGCTATCTGGGTGCGTGCACGGGGAGCCCTCGCCCGCACCCAGGCATCCCAGGGACCCTCCGCGGCCAGTGCTCCCTGCCCGCGCGGGCACGCTGGGCGCGGAGCGTCCCTCCCCGGGGTCCCGGAGTCTCCGTTGCCGAGTATTTATCTGAACCCCCAAGGAAAGGCACAGCCGGCGCTGCAGGCAGCGGTCGCGGAAGCACTTGTCCCGGACTTCGCTGCCTGCAGTGGTCGCTCGGCACCGCCAGCAGCTCTCAGCTGCGGGAATGACCGCATTCCTTGTGTGATCAGAGGCCGAGCCCTGCTTCCGGCGGGGGCAGAAAAGTCCCTCTCGGATAGGAGTCCTTGGCGGCTCCCGTTTCCGTTGAGTATAATTCAGTTCCAATCCACTAGAGAGCATCTGTGGATTTCATAAGATTTGGGAAGGATGCACTCATGGTGTCTGTCCATCGTTAAAAAGTGAGGGGTGCATCCGACCGAAATGATTCCTGCAGTCCCCAAGGGAGCGCACTGACCGGGCGCTTCCCTGCTCCAACCTTCCCAAGACCGCTTGGAGGGAACACTGGGCCACTCACAGAGCGCCTGAGTCCACAGAAGCGAGTTGAAAAAAAAATACGTGCGGGAGGAAGGGAACCGCTTGTTTTTGTGAGTGTCACCGGGCCCTTGAGTGTTGCCACCTGCAGTGTCAAGGTTGGAGGATGCCAGTGCAGTGGTCCTGGGGGGATCCTGGGGGTGTGGTGGCTGTGTCCCCAGAATGTGGATTTCCAAGACACGAGCTTTGTGAGAACAAGTACTAAGGTTATTTTGGAAAGGAAGAAATACACGCAGCTTAGGAGAGCAACTGCAGGCTCGGCTCGGGGCAGAAGGAGCCCTGCTCGGACGCATCAGGAATGCGTGCACCGACAGGGCGCCGCGGGCACGCTGAGCAGGCTGCCCAGTGCCCGGGAGTCACGGGTTGTTGAGCAACTTGGGGCCCTGGGTATGCTGCACCCCCAGACAGGCTGTCTACACCGCACCTCCCCGGACCTGTTTGTGGGGTGCAGCGGCCCCACCGGGTATCTGGATCCGACCTGGCTGGGAGACGGTGGTCGCCATGCTTGTCACTGGATCTGAAGCAAAGGGGTTTGGGCCTGGTAGCAAAAATAAGGCAGGTGATCGGGAGGCCAGGCCGGAGGGGCTGTCACGGAGGGGTTTGTTGCTGGCTTTCTTTTAAGTCAGGAAAAAACAGCGCGCTCTCAAGGGACGAGGCCTGCGAGGGTGGCGCGGACGCGACAACGGGACGCGTCTCTGTTTTGCAGCGAAATTCACGGAGTTTCCGCGGAACGTGACGGCCAGCGAGGGGCAGAACGTGGAGATGTCGTGCGCCTTCCAGAGCGGCTCCGCCTCGCTCTACCTGGAGATCCAGTGGTGGTTCCTGCGGGGCCCCGGCGGCCTGGAGCCCGCCGCCGAGGCGGCCGGCGCGCAGGTAGCGGCCGCGGCGCTCGCGCGCCCGAGGGACGCCCCCCACCCGCACTCCCCGGCCGGGTGTCCTGGGATGAGCGACGCCCGGGACGTCGGCGGCTGAGCCCGATGTGCTCTGGCGACGCCAGACTGGACCCAGAGAGAAGTCCTGCCCGGCACGAGTGGGAAGCGGGCCCCGGGCGCCCTGCGGTGGCGCCGGTCCTAGGACGCTCCCCGTCTGCCTCCGGACGGTGGCGTGGGGCAGGGGGTCCTGTGGGAGAGGTCTCCACACCTGCACCCGGCCAGTTCTGTCACCACCGCCGCCCCTGGGGGCGCGGGGGCGCGGGGGAGGGGTCGAGGGAGCGGAAAGGGGGGGGCCGGGAGGGGGCCACGGGGGCGCGGAGCCCCGCGGGAGGCCGTGGTCGTGGACACGGACACTCGCGCCCCCGCCCGCCCTGGCGCCATCCCCGCGGTCGCGGTCGCGGCCACGCAGCGGGACGCACCCGGCCGTGCCGCGGCCCCGCAGCGCAGTCTCACGCGGCGGGCGGCGCGGGCACGAGGCGCTGCGCGCCGCGGGCGCTCCTCGCCCCTGAGCGGGCGCGTGCTTGTCCCGCAGGTGGAGCTCCTGCCGGACCGAGACCCGGACAGCGACGGCACCAAGATCAGCGTGAGTGTCCGGCGGGCCCCGGGGTTAACTGAAACGCGTTTGGATTTGCAGTTTGCACGCGCGCGGGGTGTCCTTACCCCGCTGGGTCACCGGAGTGGAAGCGCACGTAGTCCCTAAGTCGAGTTTCAGGTTTTAGTCAGGGGAATCAACAGCCAGACTCGATATGCCTCAGGGAGGTCGCGAGACGCCGCCAACGTGAAGAGCCCGTGGAGAAGGCGGGAAGCATCCGGGGATCTGGGGAGAAGGCGGGAAGCATCCGGGGATCTGGGGAGAAGGCGCGAAGCATCCGGGGATCTGGGGAGAAGGCACGAAGCATCCGGGGATCTGGGGAGAAGGCGCGAAGCATCCGGGGCTGCGGGGTTGCGATGACAGAAAGCGGCGGGACCTGAGCGCTCCCCCGCGGCTCGGGCCCCTTCCAAGTAGTGCGAATCCCAAAGCTGACGTCACCGCCCACCCCCATTGCAAACACCTGCACGCGCAGGTGGCCACTCCACCGGTTACTGCTTTTAATAGTTGTGAAAGGAAGAAAGATGGAAAAACTAAGTGTACCTCAAAGGTTAGGGTTAGGTTGTTGCTTTAAGTTGACAATACCGTCTAAGGACATTACTGGCGGAAATCGCTGTCTGAGGAGAACGGGGATCCCCCAGGCCTAAATACAATTCGAAGGTTTGTTTCTGGGAGTCTGAAAATCCCGTGGTTCTAGATGTAGAGGACATTCACTCAGGCTCTGACAGCATGTCCGTGATATAGGTAGAAGGTTATTTCACAACCAAGAGTGTAAAATCTGTACACAAATTCTGGAATCGAAATGAGTGATCTCAATAGGGATGAAATACCAAAGAAAAATAAAATATAGACCAGAAATTAATGTGTAGTTCATAAAATCAGTGACTTTTTAGAAAATTTTAGCTTCATTTATTCTTGTGTCACAGAAACTGTTGGTTTCATATAATGCCAGAAAAGTTTATTGGTAAAGTCAGTTAACACTTTTTCTTAAGCCTTTCATGTCACATGCCCAGTCAGAATTAGGCCACCTGCTGACCATTGCAGGTGGTCACCCCTGCTCCATCACCCAGAGGCCCGCAGTGGTGAAGGCCTTGTCCATCCTGACGTTCAGACACTTACCTACCGATGGTGTTCATCTTCACCAGCAGTCCCCAAAATCTAGGGAGTGGAAAACCATTCTAGATCCAAACTCAGGCAGGACACATCTGTTGTTTTGCTTACCATCTGTGTGGCTTTATGTGTTTATCCTAAGCCTGCAGTTATTAACTTAGAGTGCTGGGGAGCTTGGGTCACATCCTGATCCCCGCTCCACCCTGGAGATGTAGACCTGATATTACTGCATTAATACAAGAGAGCCTTGAAGGAACACCCAGGTAATCTTAATGTTCAAGCAGCACTGACAATTACTGACCCAAACCACTAAGACTGTTTACCCAACTGTAAAATGGGATTATAAAGTTTACTTCATTTGGAGAATGTATTTGAAGCTATTAATTTTCCATTATTGTAGAGCATCCATACATTTACATGGTTTTTTTTGTATCCACACAAGTACATGCTTATGGTTATAGTCCACATGGAAACTTTTTGTATATATACCTCTGTATTATGTAAAAAAAGATGAACAGTTCTCAAGTTTTCTTAATTATTTATGGTCATTTGAAAGCTAAGTGGACCATTAACAAAATAAATAACATTCTGCCCCTTCACTTTTTTCTCTTTCAAAACAAACCAACTCCTTAAATCTTGAATGTCTTATGAACTCCATCTTTTTTCTGTCAAACCCAGACAATAGATGATGTAATATCAAATCTAACTATACAGATAAAGTACATATATATATATACATATGTAATATTTCAAATACTTTGTGGAGAATTAAAAAGTCCATTTTGATGCAAAAATTATGGAAGCTACATATGTTTTTTTTACAATAAGTATCGCCACAGACTTTTTGAAGATGCCTCATTATGTATAATGCAGTCATATATAGTATCTAATATTACACATATTAGATAAATGGTCTTGCTATTCATCTGGTAGAAATTATTGAAAGAAATAAAAGAGCCTAAGGGTTGAAAATCAGACCCAACCCATGATTAATTGGTGCATTAGCACAAAGTCCCTGTAACAGCAGGAGTATTTCTCATTTCCGGGGGTATTAATCTGTACTCTGGGTCCCATGACTATCAGCAAGACTGCAATCAAAGTTTGAGCAGAAAAATATTTAACATCCCAGTGTATTTTCACTGCATCTTTAGCAGTCATCCCAACGTGGGGGTAATAGTACACTCTGAAACCACAAGACCAGCAGGCTATTTGTGTGACCTCTGAAGTTCAGCAGGTCAGTCGATAACCAACAGTGGTCTTGCCAGGTTAGGATTCACCCATCAGAGTTCATCAGCCAGAGGCCAATCCCATGATGGCAGAATGACAGAGCTGCTACTGGAACTTGGGACATGAGGACCACATGTCTGATGGCCTCTGGCACTGTTTGTGTTGAACTAACTAGTAGAGATCCCTAGAGCCTATGAGCCAGTTCTAAGTAGAGGAATAAATGAGACCTTCAGTCCTGGCGTTAAGGAAGTGAAAAGCCCCTTGTCTGTGGCTATAAGGCCATCAACACCCTTTATTTTTCTAGCAGTAGCCAGCTCCGGATACAAAGTGAAAACAAAGCCACTTGATGTAGCACTTTACTTTTTACCTGCAATTTTTCAGACAGTGAAAGTCCAAGGCAATGACATCTCCCACAAGCTTCAGATTTCCAAAGTGAGAAAAAAGGATGAAGGCTTGTATGAGTGCAGGGTGACGGACGCCAACTACGGGGAGCTTCAGGAACACAAGGCCCAGGCCTACCTGAAGGTCAATGCCAACAGCCATGCCCGGAGGATGCAGGCCTTTGAGGCCTCGCCCATGTGGCTACAAGACACGAAGCCCCGCAAAAACGCCTCTGCAGCGGCTCCCAGCAGCATGCACAGCTCTGCCACCCAGCGAGCACACGCCACCTCCAGCCCTCACGCAGTAGCCAGGATCCCCAAGCAAAGTCCACAATCAGGTATGGAAACCCACTCTGAGCCTTTTGCTTTCTCCCACACAGCCCCTCTCCAGGAAGGTCAGGTAGAGAGATTTGTATGTGACAGTTTGACAGTGGGAGTCCTGGTTGGGTGGGAATGGTGAGGAGACAGGAGCCATGGCAAGCCTGAGACTGGCAGGCCCTGGGAATGTGAATCTGCCCATTAGTCCCTGGCAGGCTTCAAATCCAGGGGATCTGAGAGCTGGATTTTTTTTCTTTGCCTGTATTTACACATTATAAGAACAATAAATCATGTAATGTTATATTATAAATGCACATTCATTTCCTGTACAGATTTATGTATCAATAATGACCCAAATTGCAAAGCTCCCACTTAATCAAAATGTAAATGAATGAGACACACATCATCCACCTTTTCAGCCACACACAGCGTTAAGCAGGACTGTTAGGGTTTTGATCGTGGAGGAGAAACTTCAGCTGCCTGTGATGGAAGCAATGGTGGTGATGGGAGGGAGGGAAGGAGGGCCGTGGAAGGCAGTAAGTGGTGCAGCAATAAGGCAGCTCCTGCAGATGCACCTCCAATGCCAATTTAGAAGCTTAGTCACACATTTCCTCAGTCAGCTGTGCAAGTTAAAGCTGTTCTGAATAGAATTAATTTATGCACTCATTCAGCCAATGGAAACTCACTGAAGTTTTAACCTTGATGTAGGATAAAGGCTTCTTGGAATAAGAGCCCCCTCGGTAGTCCTAATTGTTTCAGACACTGGACATAATATCACAGGAAAAAGAGCACAAAAATACTTAACTCATCCTTCTTGATGTTTTTCCTTTTACATTTTATCACTGAAGCAATGGCTGGTAATAGGGAATTACATGACTAACACTAAAGGTCTCATCAGCCACTTAATAAAAAAAAAAACTTTGGTCGCTTTACCAGGATGTTTTCTGAGCTACATTTATATCAGAAATTATCCTGAGTATGCATCAAATACAATCATTTATCAAAAAGAAGGCAACACACACATTTAAGCCCTCGCTTGTGAACAGTGGTTTTAAAATAATGTATGCCAGCATGTAGAAGCTTTGTGTCCTCAGGGATCTGGCTATCAGATTGGTAGGGAGCTTGATTTAGGGTCCCTGCAAGCTTTCTATGCTCTTAAACACAGACGAGCAACAGTCCTAGCATGTCCTGGTCCTGACAATTTATGTCTGGCTGATGAACAGATAGCTTAGCATCTCTGAACCCCTTTGGCTTTGTCTTATTTTCCTCTTTATTGTCTCTGTTTCCCAAATTAAAGGACAAAACAAGCTTAGATAATAATGGTTTTCTTGTATATGAATAGTCTACACCCACATCTGTATCTTAGTTACGATTTTGTCTCCCATCTTTAATATGGCTTTGTTAGCATTGTGATTGGTGCTCCCCTGACAGTTTTCAGATAGAAGGTACTGCTCATCCCATCCAGCCACTCACCCTGCTGTTAGGGACTCCTCACTTTTTCCAGAATTGAGGGAGAAAGGAGAGAATAGGTACAGGCTTGTGGAACCCTGGGGTCACGAGGAGCCTTTCTCACTGGAAATCCTTGCTCCCAGCAAAGCTTAATCTGAAGTTCTCAAGATGTTTAACTTCCATTTTTTCTACAAATGAATACTGGAAAACATTTTATATTTTTTATCAACATTTTCCAATTTCGATTTCAAAAGCTGAGATGGTCCAGCCTCTCATACAATTTAGTTGTAAGTTTCTGGGCTTACACGACTGTGGTTCTGTAACACAGAACCTGGGATGGATATTTATGTGTGATATTCACTGCATAGTCACATCCTGATCTGTAATTTTTTATGGTTCTCCAGATTACATTCAAAAAAGCTCATTTCAGTACCCATGTTTCATTTAATCATTCATTTGTTCCTTCCATCACTTTAAGGAACTCATACACCAGACACAGGCATACAAAAGGAGATGACTCACTCCTTGTGCTCTGGGACTTTTTGTTAATTTCACTTAATGCCCATCTTTCTTGTCTTATTCTATTTTAGGCAATACATGGTTGAGGTATCAGAGTTAACGTCTGGCTTTCATAGCCAGAAAGCATTGCCAGCGTGTTATGTTTTGCCTTTGACCCAGAGGTGAGCCTTACCTGCAGGGTGTGAGGCACTGCAGGGTCAGCCTGTGTTGCAGAAGCTGCTGATGTGGCCTTCCATTTTCATCATAGCATTTGTCCTAGCCAACTACTGTGTCAGACTGAACTACCCAACTCTTAATTCATAATATTTTTCTATCAAAGAAGTTCTGTGTCTTTGTGAAGAGAAAGCATTAGCTGAAAATTTCTTTAGATAAAATCTCCAAATGGCTATACAGTTAACTTGATCAGTTTCCCTATAGAAGAAACTCACATGTAGAGGAAGATGAAGGGACATCTACAACCACACATGTGCCACAAGCATGGTACAGTTTTCCCTGTCATTGGCCATGGCCATTCTGAGATACTTTTCTAGAAGTTAGCAAGCATGTGACAGATATCTCCTGTTTGAAACTGCTTTTGTAAATTTTTTCATAAATTATAAATTCTTACCTCTTGAGATTATTTCAGTTCTACCTCCATTTTGCAATAAACAGGACAAAATACCAAAAAAAAGGTAAATCAGGCAGATAAAGAAATCTTGGTTCTTGTCCTCCCCTGTCTCCTCTGCAGTTCTGTTAAGCTCTCTCTAGTGTTGGTCCCATGACCAATGTCATCCCTATCAAACCTGTCTCCCCTCCCTTTTCCTCTTCGCACAATGCTCGGAGAGAGAATGCCAATAAATAGGATGTGTGGGGACAGCAACACATGGAATTAGCAGCTGAAGAGGTATTCTGTGCAAGAACGGTCAGAGGGCACCTTGGAAGAAGGGGTGTGAACAGTTGCGAGTGTTTGTACGAGAAAAACAGTGAGAAGAGCATGATGTTCAGTACAGTGGCATGTGAGAAGTCACTGGGCTCAGTTCCCTCTCAGTCCCCAGCGTGAAGACTCCCAGTTCCCCTCGCTGCGCTAAAGCCATCTGGACCCAACCCGCCCCCAGATCCCCAGTCTTCCAGAAGCGAGACGTGCCCTGCAGACCACCTGCACAGTCCTTCATGTGTTGTCCCCATCTGTCTGCCTTCTGCTGACCCCTCCCATTCTTTCTCAGGCAGGGACACTGGGAGCACTGCCCTGCTCCATCCTGGCTGCCTGGATCTTCCCAAGGAGGTGGACAGACATGGATGTCTGTGCCCTCTATAAGGGGCAGTCAGTCCTCTCAGCCTCACCTCCCTGGCCTCCTCCCCCTGCCAGTGCCACCACAGATGCCCTCTTGCACTTGCACACCCATGACTCATCCTTCAGCTTTTGCCCATCACTCCTGGATGCTACCTGTGTCTCCTCCACTGGCTCCCCATCTGCTGACCCAGCAGTTCCCCCTCGGCTCCATAATGTCATCCTCTTCCCATCCTCCATCTCCTGGTCTTCTCATCTGTTTCATGGATTTGGCTAGTAGCTTTCTGTTAGAAAATCTTCCATTCATGTTTCCACTTCAGATCTGTTTCTGGAGACCCAGATGCAGCCCACACACCTTGTGGCAGATTAGAGAAAGCTGCACACCTGCTGATGCTCCACTCATTGGGAGGGGAGCCTGTTTCCTCCCCCTATTGGGCTAGCCTTGACCACTGTAGCCAGTAAGCCATGAAGAACTGAGAGTGTGTCAATCCCAGACCTAGACTTCAGGGAACCAAAGCCACCTGAGATGCTCCCTGGGAAAGCCCAACCAAGGCACCGTGCCTTGCAGCCGAGTAAGATTCTTGGACTCCCAGCTACCCAGTGACTCTCCTGTAGCAAGCATCTGCAGCTTGAGCCCACCAGAGCCCAACACACTCAAAGCTGGGGGTGCTGACCAGTGGTCTGCTTAAGGTGCAGAGTTCAGGGTAGATTGTTGCAGAGCAGGAAATAGCAGACCACGTTGCTGTCTCATCTGTCCCACCAAAAAGCACTGTGTCCCCGTGTTCCCAAACTGATTGCCTCATCCCAGTCCCGGCTCTGAAGGAAACCTTGAGCATATTCTTAATTCCTCCATTGCCGCTGAATTAGGCATTGAGTCCCCATCATCCTCATCTCCCAAAAACATCGTGACAAATGGCAGCTTTCTGTCCACCAGCCCCACCATTGTTCTCAGCACAGCCACTGGCTTTCCTCTCTGTTCTGCCCCCTCCTACCTCCCGTGTCAGCTCCAATTCAGAGAAATTATCACAACTATTCCAAGGCACTGCCACAGTGTTGAATCTGATTCCAGCCCTGTGTCTTCTGAATTCCTAATTCTGACGCTCAGTCTTCCTACCTGGTGTTTAGTGTTTCCAGGTGCTTTCTGCAAATGCTGTTTTCTTTTGCTTGCATGAGTTGCCCCTCCCCACCCAACCCCATTGGCTGAGTTCTGACTCAAAGGCACAGCCCTTCAGAGAGCTCTCTCCTATTCTCTGAGTGAGACTTGGCTGTGACTTCCCACGTGGCTCCTGCAGCAGCAATGGCTGACCCTTCCTTGCAGTCTTGTTATGCTTTCCATTTTGGGATTAGCTGCCTTTCCTGCACCAAGCCCTGCCTTCTGGGAAAAAAAAAAACAAGCTCTGGCAGGGAGAGACGGCTGGTCACCCTCATTCTGGGACTGCATCTCAGTCCTCCAGGTGCCCAGAACAGATGGAGTTTGTGTTTGGGATGACACAAAAAGAGAGAGACAATGTGCCTTTGTTTTATATCCCTTTCCTTATAATTATGTAAGCAGATCATTTTCCCAGTTCCGAAACTGACCAAAACCCTCTAACAATATTTCCCAAAGTGTGGGGGCCAAATGCTCATTCATATTCCAAGGCTCCACCCAACACCAGTCTGAGTGTGGAGCCAGAAGTAGGTGTGTTTACGTTCGGCAAAGTAAGAGAGTAATTAGCTTTAACAGTTTTTGTGTGTGAGAACGTGTCTAGCCATTGGCTGTAAGGTGTGTCGGCATGCACTGTACAG